ATTAGTCTGTGGCTTTTAAAAAGCCAAAAAATGAAACCCCTCATGTTTAAAATTATTGAAAATATGGCAATTCTTTTCTGGTATGCCAGTCAACTGTTATTGGAGTTTTACAAATAAATTTCTTCCAAACAAGGAAAATCAATGAGTTATTTTTTTCCCTAAATGTTTTTATCTAGCAAATACTACACCTAAAAATAATAAAGAAAATTCTTTTAAAAATATTTGACATGAAAGTGGCATCAAACTTTACATTTCTTGAATCTTCAAACATCATTATTTAATAAAATAAAAAATATTCCTTTTGTTATCTGCTAAAGAATTTCAAAATTGTACTGAAAAATTACAAGTAAATTTTTCCAGAATAAATATTCATTGTAGATTTTCCTGTCAAATCCAAAAGAAAATACATGATGAAAAATGCCGAAAACTTAATAAAAACAAAGTTTTATCATCAGAATTTTTATGTTGTTATTAAGAGGAATTTTTATTTATTAATTTATGTTTTTTAATCTTTTTAGAACATTCAAAATTTTGGTTAAAAATCTTTTCTTGCAACAAATATAAATTAGTATGAGAAATTTCAGTATCTTTTTGCAGTGAAAAACATTAATTTGGAAATTCTTGATAAAATCAGATAATTGTCAAATTTTAATGAAACTTTCAAGACTTATTCATAAATAATTAAATTATTTTAGAAAATCCTGATAAAAATATTTTCTTTTATATCTGTTAGCTGCCACTTATTTAATTTTATGAAATTCGGAAAATTCATTTGGTAGCACTAAATGTTTATATTAGTTATAAGAAAAAATCCTGAGAGAATTTAAATCATAAAAACAGTGTCCCCAATATAGGAAATCTGTTCTGAATCGTAAAAAAAAAAAAAAAAAAAAAATGGAACAAATACATTATTTAATTAGAAATTTATGAATATGATATATTATGAACACTACTGTCTTAAGAAAAAACATGTTTTTGATGAATAATGAATTTTTACAAAGATGGTTTTTATTTTTAAAATTTTTATTATAATAATTTATAAAGTTTTAAATCTTTTAAATTTCTGTATTAATTCTATAAATTAATATATAGCTAATATTGTTATTAAGTAAAAACTATACTTACCAATCTTAAATGGAAAAGCTTATTACAGTGTAGCAACTCTCAGTATTTTAAAAAGAATTTTGAATCTTTTTTGTGTGTATATAAATTGCAAATACAGGTGTTCATACACAACATTATCAGAAAAATAAGATTGGTAACTATAATTGACCCTTTTTAAAATATTTGCCAAAAGTCAAGAAATTATCTGATTCAAAAAAAATTTTCAGTACTTACTCATTAATGAATGAATGTTTGAATGGTTTTTATTGAAAAACTTTAGGGAATTACGGGGGGAGGGGGTCATATTTCATTCCTCTCCTTTTTGATATCTTGTGTGTACTTTTTAATTGGGTGCAGAGGTGGTCATCGATTTTCATGTTTCATTCCTGTTCATTTTGTTATCTTGTGTGTACTTTTTTAATTGAGTGCAGGGTGATTGTCAGTTTTTTTTTACTGTTTTATAAAAAATAATCCCTGAAAATATTTCAGTAAAAACTCTATCCAATATCAAGTGTGAACATATGGAAAGTTTGGCCTGCATCTTACCAAAAATAATTCAATAAAAACTCAAAAAAATAATTTTTTTTTGAGAATTTATGCTTGCATCATTTAATAAAATATGTTACTTTCTTTCAGGCTGGACAGAAAAAAAAAAAATTTCACTTAATATTTTTAAAAAACTACTTGTAATTTTTAAGTGCAATTTTGAAGTTCATCCCATTGCTGTTTGTCACAAGACTTTCTTTTATTAAATAAAAACATGTTTAAATAATCAAAAGATGTAAAGTTTAATGCCATTTTCAAGTGTGAATGTTTTTCAAAAGAAATTCATTTTATTTTCTCCTTTTAACAATTGTTAGATTATTTTTCCTATGGATACACAAGAAGGACATAATTCTGATATCTTGCTTTGACTTACCTCTATCAAATATGGAAAATGAATTAATCTAATTTCATATCTCCTGTTCAGTTAGTTTTTTGTGGCTTGAAAGGACTGTTTTCTGATTCATCAGAATGGGTGCTTGTTTTTTGTTTTTTTGCAGGTTTGTTTTCTTGCATTTATTCAGATTCATAACCTTACTTCAGTAATTCAATGTAAGTTATTTTAAGTTTATATTATTTTAAGAACAAATCTGTCTTATTTTTCCTGCATAATTTGTTCCCCCTCGCACCAAGAAAATTCTTAGAACTACCACAAAACTATTTCATTCACATAAATTAATACTTTATACTGTAATTTTTCTCAAATTTACTCTTAGAATAAAGGCTTTTCATTTCACATTATCTAACACAAATTATATTTACGCTATTTTTTGGTAGTACCTTATCTTCAGATTTATTTGTTCGCCAAGTTTAATAAAAGCATATAGAATAAAAAATTATATTCTTAAAATATTGGTTAAATAAAATTTATTTTCAAGCATAAATAACAAATTCGTAATTATTGCACTGCTGGTCTTCAGTATTTCTTTAGATTTTTTTTTTCGTGCGTTTTTCTGGACAGGCATAGAGTGTTTAGTTTCTATTTTGTCCTTTGACCTCACAGGCTATCGTATACAAATAAAAAAACGCTATTTTCATTGTTAAAAAGATAAACATTGCTTTCAGAAAACCCAATTAATTAAGTTTTAAATTTAATTATAGACTTTGTCACATATCACTGAACAAATATTGAATTTTAAAGAGAATTTTATTGTTGTTTCATATACAATGGCAGATTGAAGAGTCGTCGAGTGACGAAAAAATGTGCCAATATTTTAGTTTAGAAATGCCTAAAAACTAAAAAGGTCTTTTACAGAAATTAATTTTTCTTTTAATTTGGATTAACTTTTTAGGGCATTATCTTTCAAATAGAACCGAAATTAAAGTTCAAAGGCATTTAAAATGCTTTTTTCGGGTTTTTTTTTTTTAGAAATTCCGTGGCGGTACTCAAACTTCTAAATGAAGATTGAAGAACTATGCAAACTTCACACTGTGAATATGAAGTAAAGCCTCCAAAACTGCATACACTTCATTCATAAACAGAAGCTTAATGCAGTCTGTTTACTGAAACTCTCTTTAGTTTAGTATACTATATATTTTGAAAATTTCTAACATCTTCAGATGAAAATCTATCTTTACAATGATTTTTTTTTATTGTAGCTCGTTTTTTTACTTTTTTTTTTTTACTCTGAACTGAACTACAAAAATAATTCAAAATTCAAGAAAATCAACAAAAATTTTAAAGTAAACAACAGTGTGGTAAGCAAGTTTTATTTATTTACAAAAATGTTGCAATGAAGGTTATTGTTTTTAATTTTTATTCGAATGGTGCATTCCATAAGGTAAAGTAGATGTTTAAGATCAGAATTTTTTTTTTTCAAATTTGTAAAGTAAATTTGATAAATTTGCTTTTTAACACCTGCACTCTTACAATGTTCCCAAATTATCATAATTCCGTGTAAAATGTACATGTTGAACTCGAATTAACAATTAAATTATGAAGAAACCTACTGTTTTGGAGTTATTGACAATAAAAGTTCGAACTCAGTCACGTTCCAGTCATTATTGGCCTTGTTTAACTACATTCACTGCTGAACATTTAGCACGCGTAGATAATCATGCTCTTAAAGTTCGGGCGCACGTGCGAACTTCGTAAAGAACATGATTATCTACAAAATAAAAAAAAATGCTAGAACCGAAATGATAACTAATGCACAAACTTTGGAAAGAGCATGATTTTTTATTTACAAAATTAAAAAATGCTAGGAAGGAGTATTTCTTTTTATTTTGTAAATAATCATGCTCTTTATTACAAAATAAAAAAAAATGCTAGAAACGAAATAATAATGCGCAAAGTTTGATCATTAACTATTATTTCCTTTCTAGCAATTTATTTTGTAAATATTCATTCTCTTTACAAAGTTTGCACATTAATTGTTAAAAAACACCATTTGTCATCGCTTTACGACGTAACTTAAATGTAAGTTCAGTTAAGCGCAGTAAAAAGGCTCTTAGTCTTCACTCTTCTTAATTAAACCTTCGCGTGCTAAATGTTCAGCAGTGAATGTAGTTATACAAGGCCAGTAATGGTCGACGGCTGAACGTGACCGAGTTCGAACTTTTATTGTCGATAACTCCAAAACAATAGGTTTCTTCATAATTTAATTGTTAATTCGCGTTCAGCATGTACATTTACACGGAATTGTGACGATTTGGAAACATTTTAAGAGATATTTAGCGCCGGTGTTAAAAAGCAAATTTACCCTAAATTTTATGATATCGTAATTAAAAAGTAAAATTTATGTCTTAAAATAAAAATGTGAAAAATCATTTCTTTTACCGACAAATCCAACATCGTAGGAAGCAATTTTTTTAATAAATTCAAGGATCTGTACTTGACTCAGTTAAGTAGATTTTTTAGCACTTATGCAAAACTTAAAAAAAAAAAACGAAAGTTACAAAACAACTAATAAAGAAAGTTGACAACTCAAATTTAGTTGGTTAAAAAAAAAAAAAAAAAAATACACTGAGTCGAGATGTATTTTTGGTTCAAATGGATGGAGATATTCTAAGTTTGAAACATCACAGTTTTAGCGCCAAATTGAAAATTTTATTCGAACCAAATTAATACTAGTACAAATGGTAAATTATCGATCTAAACTGCATCTGATTTTATTCATACCGAACTTGAACAAAAAAAAATAAATAAAAATACAGTGACAACCTTAGCAACAAGAGAAACAAAAACACGCCATTCGTTTGTTTACACCACTTTCGTCTTTATCCGTCACACATAAAGATTATCGACAAATTTTAATCAATATAACTAAGAATTTAATTAGTTCTTTTAACCAAATAAATACCTTAGAATAACATCACAATGACTTGAACGAAGATAAAAGCAAATGACATACCACTAAAAAGTTTTCATCAACTTCTTGAAAACTTCGAAGCGTCTCTTGGCGATGTAATTCTCCCACAAATCAATGCGTCACCGGAAGTAGAGACTCGGAAGTGTTACCATAGAAACACAAACTACTAAGCAAATAAAAAGCGGAACAACCTCCTTGAGAACCACTTAAAATAAGTAGTAAAATACAAATAAAAAATATATATTTTAATAATTTCCTTTTATGAAATCGTGAGAGGATCTCCTAATTTAACTTTTTATTTTGATTTTTTTTGCATTTATATGCATTTTTTGTCGATAATGTACATCTTTAAATCAACAAATACATCCAAATGGATGTGTTTTTTTTTTCTGAAAGCAAAAAAAAAAATAAAAAAATAAAAAAAAAACGCTACCCAATTTAAAAAAAAAAAAAAATGACCCCCAAAACAGGAATTATTCGATTTAAACGAAAATTTCAATACTTAAATTGAGCTAGTAGTGGGATGAATTTTCGTTTACTTTTAAAATCGAAAATCACTGAAGATGTTAATTTCAATAAAAGAAAAATATGTAATAGCACAAAAATAATTCAATAAAACTCTGAATCTCACAAAAGAAAAATTCAATAATTCTGTTGAGAGTTGGTACTTCCATAACACAATTCAATTATTCTTTACCAGCTTTCCTCATTTTTTGTAGCAATTTCGTTAGTTTAACAAATTTTCTCAAAATCAGAATAATTTTTCGAAAAAATACCTCGTTGGGCGCAATTAAATCTAAGCATGTCCACTGTTTTCGCGGAAAAACAGCATAGCGTAAATGAAAAATGCCACAAACTTAAAGAAAATAAAGTATTATCGTCAAAATGCTTATGTTATTATTTAGATGAAAGAAAAAAGTATTTTTTAATTATTTTTTGAAATTTTTTAATATTTTCTAACACGTTCGAAATTTTGGTTAAAGTCGTCTTTAAACGTCATCGCGGCGACGTTTAAAATAACATTTTTTTTTTTTTTTTAGCGTTTTTTTTACCGTTGAAAACATATTGATTTAGAAATTCTTGTAAAATAAAATAATTGTCCGATCTTAATGAAATTTTCAGGACTTATTCACAAATCAATGAAATTATTTTTGAAATATTTTTTTTTAGAAAATTTTGGTAAAATTATATTTTTAAAAATATATTACCCCACATTTACTTAATTTAATGAAATTTCGCCCAAAACCTTTTTGGTTCCTGAATTTTTTTTTTTTTATTAAAAGTAGGAGTCTTCGAAGATGGTAAATAACCTACTTTTTTTTTTTCAAATTTGAGCTATTTAACTGAAAATCTGCTCTGAATTGAAAAATAATGAATCCAATAAAACTATGATATTACTTAATTAGAAAAGCTTTTAATTGCTTTTGTAAATATAAGTAATATTAAGGACATTATTGTCTGAAGAAATAATTTTTTCTGATGAATAATTAATTTTTACAAGAATTTTTTTCGTTTTTTAAGAAATTTTAATTATAATTATTTATAATAGTTTTAAATCGTGTAACGCTCTGTATTAGGAGGGTTCCTCGATATTATGTAGTAATTAAGTAGAAAAAAAATTTACGAATCCAAAATTGCTAAGTTTAATAAATTTAGTTGCGCTACTTTTTTTAAATAATTTTTTATGTTGTATTTTTTTTACTTAATACATTCCTTATTTCCATGTATGATATACAGAAATTGCCATTATTATAACAAGGTCACGTGATCTAAGGGTTTTGTCCCTTTACGTGGCCTTTTCAAAACATTTCGTTTCTTACAGGTTGTATTTTCCGTTCAGCTTTAAAAGTGTAAACTTTAAATTTTAAATTATTTTTCTTTTTTTCATTTACTATTTCACTAAATAATTTTATTTTATGTATTGTATTTCCATTAGTGTGTGTCATACTCAAATAGAATATTTTTTTAAAAAACTCAGACTTAAAAATTATGTCATTTATGGTCATCAGTAGTAGCTGTCATCGGCTCGTCAATCAACCATCATCAATAGATCGAACAGATGAACAGGACCGCTCGTTAATAATTGGTTGTATATTATTTTTTATGCTATAAGTAACAAAGATTTCTTTGAAATCAGATTACTTTAACTTTAAATTTTTTAATTTTACTAAAATAACGTGTCAGAATTTTTTTTTAAATATTTTAAAAATCGATAAATTTGTGTTTGTTTACAAATTTCTTAAAATTAAGAAAATGGCCGTTTTTAAGAAAATTTAAAAATTTGAAATTAAATTTGACAATCAAATTCAAATGTATATAGTTTCTATCTGAAATACACCAGAATTGTTTAATTAATAGAAATCGTAAATTTAATTATTAAACTTTCAATTAAAGCTAAAATGAAATCTTCAATAATGTTTTTTCGTTGTAAAAAATTCATTTTAAACTTCAATATAGAAAATTTATGCCGAAATAGTGGAGGTACTTATGACACCAAACAGGTAAGAAAATAATTTAAAAATATAGAAAGTTTTCTAACAAAATAGCCTATTTATTATACAGTTCATTCATTAATAAGTTCTGAAAATTTCATTTAAATCTGAAAATTTTCTGATTGTTTAAAAATATTTAAAATATGGGTTATCGTTTTTTTTTTTTTTTTTTTTTTTTTTTGCTTTCATTTTAGAAAAAATCCATCCATTCTGGTGGCGCCTACTTCTAATATAGTATAAAAAATAAAATTATTTATTCTAAGTTTCATAAAAGTGTATAAGATAAAAAAATGATATTTTAAAATCTATTGGTTAATTTTCTTTAAACATAAACAATACCAATTTCTTTTGATTGTTTTGATTCTGGTCTTCCATAGTTATTTTAATTTTTTTAAATTTTTCATAAAATTTTTTAAATCATAGGTGACAGTAGAAAACTACTGTAGTTAGCCCTTACTTAACCTTAATGACAGCTTATCAGTCACTGTGCATAAATAAACATTATATTTGCTGTTTTTAGGTAAGCATTACTTTTATAAAATCCAGTTAATTAATGTTTAAATTTAGTATTTTACTTTTAAAGAAATCGCTAGGACCAGTACCAGATTTTTAAAATAGTTGTTTTCATTTTTCATCAATAATGGTGGTTCACTGGGTGATGAGTGGCTGTGCCAATGTTTTAAAATGTCTAAAAGCTTTATTTAAATACTTATTTTTAAATACCTATTATTTTTCTTTTTTACAGAGTAGATTTTGTCTATTATATTTCAAATAAAACCAAAATTTAACTTCAAAGAAGACAGTTAAATTATTTAAAATGCATTTTTCAATTGTTTTAGTAAGTCCATGGTGGTATTTAAGGACTACTAGAATTTGCCGCCCAAAGACACAAAGGCATTTTTGATGGTTGCGTGGAGAATTTTAGTACTGAGTTATATGTATTTATCACTTGAGTGATCAGCTTCCTATCTACAGTACCAATCTGAACACTTTATAGATGTATATAATTTAAAACTGTAATTTATTCATAAGTTTATTTACAAAGTTTGATTTTTGTATTAAAGACGTGCATTAATTTGAATTTCCGCAGATACATTTTTAATAGTAACCAGTATTATTATTTGAAATGTTTTCAGAAAATGACACATGTCTGATATAAAAAAAAATTTATACATTTATTTAATGTCATTACTCAGAATTTACAGGAGAAAATAAAATGTCAATGCATTCAGTTAAGGATGCTGGCATGTATTTATAGTTAGTTATAGTTAGCTTTGTGTAGATTTATGTAGTTGAGCCAGAACACTTGAGTTGACTGACCACAGCCTGTTGCAAAGTTTCATATTTATCTGTTTTGAGAAGATACAAACTCAAAGGTTTCTGAATTTATTGAAACCAATAGCACTTGATTAAAATCTTCTTTTTTATATACTTTGTGATCTTTTTTCTATGTCCACAAATTTCTAATCTTATTTTTAGCTTATACTTTTGGCAGCAGCTTTTTGAGGATCATGCTGTTTTGAAATATATATGTGTGGGGTGGGGGTGTTGATCCTCTTTTTGAAGAGTTTTTTTTTCATGCCTTTTGAAACCTTTACACACTAACTACTGTACTGGAGTTGAGTTTAAGTTTTTAAGCTTCACTAAAATGTTTCAACAAATAAACAATTACTTGTTTAAAATATTTTCTTAAAATAAAGCATATTAAAATGTATATATCCATTTGTTCTTTCTGTAAATTAAGTGTTTTTGTAAAAATGTAAAAATAAATAAAAATTAAGCATATATTCAAACTTGAAATTTGTAAATAAAAACTATAGGTAACTCTTTAAAGAGTTTAGGTTTGATTTGGTATTGTATTTATATAATTAGAATGACAAAAGTATGCAGGTGTAGGCTTTAAGAAGGCTTTATTCAAATGAGAATACAAGGTTTGGCTTATAGTGTCCTTTTATAGTCTTAGTAAACAGAAATAGCTCTCTTAAAGAGGAGAGTAACAAAACAAGGGGAGACCACATTTGATTATTCATAACAATAATGAACAGGATTTCCCCCTTTTAAATTATTAAAATATCAATATTTTTTTATTTTTATAAATGCTGCAGCTTGAAGAAGGTCTAATGAATGCTGATTGCCTGATCACATGACATGACAAAAAAGTGACTGGACCAAGTTGAAGCATCAAAATCATTCCTTAAACTAAAGTTGGATCAGAAGAAAATTATAGTCACCATTTGATAATCAGCAAAGTGGAATTATCTTCTTGAATCTTGCTGAAACCATAATGGTAAAGATTTGCCAAGAAATAAAAAAAAAATGCACCAAGAACTATGATTTTGACATCCACCATCAGTCAATTAAAACCAATTCTTCTCCATGATAACACCTCACAATTGACTCTGCAGAAATTAAACTGGACAATGAAACTAGCCCACCCAGATTACTTGTCAAATATCTCTCCAACCAACTTCCACTTGTTCAAGCATCTCAACTATTTTCTGCAAGTACTGGTCTTTAAGAACCAAGCAACAGCTGAAAACACCTTCAAAGAATTCATTGGTTTCAAGAATCCAGAATTCTATGCTGTCAGAA